CGATGGGTGGGTCCACCTCACTTGGCAAGTCCTTGTCGCTTGGACAGTTGTGGAACATGTGTGACTTCATGCGCGACTCCGCCGTGTCCATGCGCTTGTTGGCGATCCCAACTGCAACCTTCTGCGCGCTGTCTTTGATTTGAACACTGCTCTTTTCTGCAGCGTCACTCTCGGCGCGACTATCAGCGCTGAAATAACTTCTTCCGCTGCGACTTCCGGTACAATTGTCACTTGTTCCCTCAGAGGTATCTCCATCGTTCGATCCGCAGTCAATGTCACCAACAGTCACATCATCTCGAGGGCCAGTGGATTCGTCTTCACCCTCTGCCTCGTCATCTTCTTGGAACCACTCTAAATCCAAGAATTTAGCAGCAGTAATACGGGTTTCTGGGTTCGGATTCAAGCAGGCTTCTACAGCTTGCTGTGCATTCGCGGGTACCTTGGACCAGATGCTGGGCGGGTAACTGACAACCACGTCGAGTTTGGATTGGGGAACGATCCCAAGCTCAAATGGCGGGGTTCCCGTCAAAAGAATATAGAGAAGACATCCAAAGGCCCACATGTCGACTGCAGATGTGTATTCACACTTTTTGAAATGTTTGTTCAGTCGCAAGTGTTATGTGTTTGTTCTTTTTTTGTTCGAACAACAAACAAGTCACCTCATGCAGACCAATGAAAAGTATCTCCGGCGCCATATACCCCAACGTCCCACACGGAGTCGTTGCGCGGCCTGACTTTGCATACGTGCTCAGCCCAAAGTCAATCAACTTGACCTCCGTCCAGTGTTCATAGTTATCGGACGTGTCGTCTCCTTCCATGGGCGTTGGGAATCGGATGCCAATGTTTTCAGGTTTGATATCGCGGTGGATCTGGTTGACAACGTATAGTGGGTGGTATGTACTTGATCCATAAACAGTAAAGCCGGACAGCCAAACTGACCACCCGTCGTGCATGCAAGTATCTGAGTCCCAGCGCCACCTGTGCAGCAATGATACGTACTTGGGCGGAAATCAGGGCACCAGTTTCTTTGACGAGGTCAAAAAGGTCACCGTCCTTCATATACTCAAGCACTGGAAGGAAAGCAGTAAAAGTCAACATGAGGGCCAGAATACTTCAAAAATGCTGTTACCAAAGACATAACAGGTCTCAGTTTCGTGAAAGTCCTGCAACTTGATAATGTTTGGGTGGCTTAGTTTCTTCAAGAGTCCCGTTTCGCGAAGTACGCGCCATTTCTCTGCGTCGGTCAAGGATGCTTTGTTGATCACTTTGAGGGCAACTTGGGTGTCCAGGATCTGATCGTACGCCAGAATCACTTCGCTGTTGGACATTCTGAAGCAATGTTGTAGGGTGGGAGTGGTTTAGATTTCCTGGATGCAAGTGGGAACGCTGCGGAGTGGGATGACAAGGGGAACGCCAACTAACGAGGGTCGAATGGTCGAGATCAGTTTGTATCTATGCTTCAGCATATCGGATAACTGCAGAAAGATTGCCGTGCTTCCGCCTCCTTTCTGCGCGCGCTGTTTGGAAAGTCGCGCTACTTCTCTTGCAGCCATTTCGGCGACGGTCAAGTTCAAATTTGAAAAGTTTGACGAACTATCCGATGAGTCGGTACTTCCGCTTGAGCTGATGGCACCGGATTGACTCATGCTGGTACCCAGGGAGTTGGTTTTGGAAATGCAGAATTTTTTCGTGATTTCCAAACCACCCGACTTGAATGCTAACATCGCGAATCGGCAAAATGGTGAACGAGTTGCTAAGAGTGAAAGAAGACACACTGTATGTGAAAAGATGATGTTGGAGGGAACTGGATTTCGCAGCACGCCTGCGAATGAAGTAACCGACGATGGATGTGCAGAGAAAACTATCACAGATAACATCGATTGAAGAAATGAATTCTGATTGGTTGAAAGCGAAAAAGGAAATATCCTCATAGACATGGGCCCATCTCAAATCGACCACGCAAACGTGACATTCACACCCCCCTTCCCACAAACGGCATGGCACCCATCCAAAATGGCGAAAAAGACTTCCTGCTTTCCTGCAAAAAAGTCGCTGCCTTCTTCAAACCCAAGAACACGCAACGCTCTTTGCCGGATCGACAGCTTATCCCCAGACGACCACATGCCGTACACCTCCACTCGATTCAACTTTTCATTCGGCGACGGCAGAGCAGGCGCCAAAGAAGTCACGTCGTCCAGCAACGAATCCTCATCTTTCGAAAAGATTGAAAGACTGGCAAGTTGAAAGCGGCCCTTTCCAAACCGCGTGGTGGCCATGGAGACGGATCCAATTGATCCCCGCCTTGACCGAGAGTACATGCTTTTCGCACGGTATGTTTTGTAGCTCTCAATCAAAAAGTCCGTGTCACCGCCGGCATAGTTGCTGCCATGGTAATCGCTCAGACTTGAAGTTGCAGCAAAGTTTCGGAAATCATCTTCCTCTTCGAAATCAAAATAAGCTTCTAGGGTCGTGAAATATTCAAAGCCTTGTAATTTTGGGCATGCGGTGAGAATCTGCTGCATCTTGTCAGGATCGATCCCATCGGTTCCGCTGCGAGAACCTGAATGATCGATGGCCAGCACTTCAAGATTTTTGAGGCAGCGCAGTGTTTCGAGAAAGTCGCCGAATCCTTCCGCGTCCAAAGCTTCGTTGAAACAGGTCACCGAGAGTCGCTTGATGCGGTCTCCAAACAGACTCACGCTGTTTTTGAATTCAGCAACGTCCATGCAGTCCGTGTCCAACTCGAGCGAGCTCAGACTTTTCCAACCCTTCGCCATGTATTTGATTGCGTTTGCTGACAAGCCACAGCACTCTTCGTCCACAAACGATTCCACGGCCGGACAACTCGTCGTCAGGAGCAAGATGTTGGAATCGCCGACATACGCGCTGTCCGAGTCGCCCGAGAGAACAATCTTGGAAATGGCGGGACAGTATTTCGCAACTGACGCCAGCAAAATGTGAATATCGCCAAACAGCGACTCGTGCAGTCCCGTTGTGGACACCATCAACGATGATGGCACCGGCAATCGGAATTGAAGCGGGATAGTGTCTGAGGCCGTTCGATGCACGGCATCGTCGATGCGGAGCTCCCTTAAATTAGACCCAATTTGCGCGAGAAGTCGCTCGGTGCTTTCGAAAAAGGAATCTGCTCCTTCGACAGTGCTCGATGTGAAGGATATGCTGAAGATACATGTTAACAACAGAGCAGTAGATGAATCAGACACAAGATTTACCTTTCGAACGAAATAGATCGAATGTGTTTCGCATGCTGTAAAACAACGTTTTCGATAAACAGAGCTGCCGAAGAGACTCTTCCGCTGACAGACACGTGCGTCCAGAGTATTGGATCGTGGACAATGCGGGCGTGCCTGCGACTCAGGGTCCCGCACTTGGCAATGAATCTGGGAGGGATCTCAATGTTTGGACACGCTCTCCATGAGCAAAAGCAACTGAAACCCACCTCGAATCGCAATACCGAAACGCAGCCAAGATGCAATGGTCTGGCAGGTCGTCAAATGTTGGCATCAACACAATTTTAAATTTTCCCTGTGAAACAAGGTCGCATTCATGATTCCACGGCAGAACCCGAATCCGCTGTTAGATCCACAATTGAACTCCCTTCACAAACACACCCTTCGAAACAGGCATCCGTCGTAATGCACAGAGGATTTGCTTTCCTTTTCTTTTTTGAGTGAACCTCAGTCAAATCCAAAACGTCTGCTTCTCCAGAAGGTCGCAACAACTCATCCACCCCTCCGCTGTCTTCACGCAAAACCGTCATTCCTTCATAGTTCCATGTGGTAAATTGCTGAAAAATATCTGTCCAAATCCCGCTCTGAATGGCGTCCTCATATTCCCAGTATGAACGCACAACATGCATAAACGCGGTGCTTTTTCGGACAAGATTGTAGTTTCGAACACAGTACCCCCGCGTCAAACTGTAGAGCGCATCATGTTGAAATGCAAAGCCAAACAGGAAGTGTGAAATGTTGTGCGGGGACATTTTGTGGGAGATTCGACTGAGCACAACGGCTGAAAGGTTGGTGATCTGATACTTGTCGGCGCAAACATACAAGAGACCTAGCTCTGCAAGGCTTGCATCTGGATCCAATTCCAACAGGTACTGCAGATTACATCAAAAATAAAGTTAGTCCGGAGACAGAGGCCCCGTCAACTCAACTCACGAGGCAGTTCAGCATCGCAACAAACGTCGCATGCGGGACGTCTTCAACTCGGACCACTGAAACTCCATCTTGAGCATTCACTCCAGGCCCCGCTAAACATGCTTCTGAAGAAGTCCGACAATGAAGACAAAATGCATTTTTGCGCAAACACGACTTTTCCTTCAATTAAGAATCGGACATCTCCGAGATACTGATGGTAAAGTGGGCTTTGTTGTGTGACGGACTGGAATTCTGCTTCTGATTCGCTTGCTGTATCCATATGAATATACACGTACAAATCGATGACGGTTCTGTGCGCGGTTGCACAGCGGTGGTTTGGTCGCACAGTGAGACCCCACCTCCGTCCACGGTGGATGTATACAAGTGGTCAGGTTGCTTGCAGTTGAAAAAACAGACCTCATCCATCCATCTATCCATCCATTCATACATACATCCATTCATACATCCATCCATTTATCCATCTTGCTCACCCGACAAGGACGGCGACACCCTATAGCACAAGTCGCCCTTTTGATGAGGAAACCGTGTGAAACCCGCAATCTGGAGCGACACCCTTTGGCCCACTTCATTGAGACTAGTCATGCTTTTCGCAGCAGATGCGGTGGGTTTTTTACCTATTTTGTTTTTACCCAAAGTGATTCTCTTTGCCATTTCTGCCCCCAACTCTTATAAATTGGCATTTGTGGGACGTGATGACCCCTTCAGCCCCTTTCAACATCAAATCTGAGGAGCCAAGCCGTAAACAAACGTTCCAACTAAAATGACTGCTTCCAAAATAATAATGATAGATTTCTCCTAAAATTCTTCACATCACGCGCCTGGCTAGCTCAATCGGTAGAGCGTCAGACTCTTAATCCGAAGGCTGTGGGTTCGACCCCCACGTTGGGCGTCTCGTTTTCCTTCAGCTGAATATGAATTTTGCAATCTGATCCACCGATTCTGCCTTGGCTACGCTGACATGCTGGAATGAGGGTATGTGTGGCACTTCATCTCTGTATATTTGACAATATTGGATTTCCAGACTCCTTCGACACATTCACTGCAAGCCATATGTGATTGTTTTGTAAAAGCAGCTGCATAGGTGGATTCTGCAATAGAGGTTCCAACTTCCTTCTTCCAGATTGGTGCTATTCGCTTTACCTCATGAATCAAGATGTCAACAAAATGCAGGGCCGCTTTTCAATGAGGACTCAAGACTGCGAATGCTTGCCTCCCCGGCCAGAACAACTACTCAGGAGAAGGGGATCCCAACGTTAACGGCAACCAAAAGCAACATGAATAACAATTAGAATCACCAATTCCTTCTTGGATTTCCGTGCTTCACTCCATGCAAATGTACACATATGCATTAATGCCAGTTCTCTGGGTGGATGTACTGTGGAAGTTGTGTAAACTGAGTCCCCAGTTTCACAGTTTAAAACAGACCACAGGGACAGAATCTATACAACGAAGCTATAGATTCAGGCTGACATCATAGACTGCACACAACACATCCATCTTTGAACATTGTAATGCTGTTGGCTTCTATACCAGTGAGTGATTGAATGGACATGAGTTGAACAATTAATTGCTCAATCGCGCTTGGACAAAAGCGCAAACTGTACGCAATGTAAATGTACGCCCAACGTGGGGGTCGAACCCACAACCTTCAGATTAAGAGTCTGACGCTCTACCGATTCAATGGCGTCAGTGTGGAAAGGTTGGCGGGAATTTAGAACCATTATAAATCAACTCTTTTCCCAAGTAGATGGTCTGCCAAGACCGGCGAGGGACAACCTGTTCATATCGCACGAGCCAGCTCTTATAGTGTTGGTCTCAAAAGAGATTCATTGCGCCGAGAAACCAAGAAGACAAAACAACGGATCTTTAAACTTTCTTTTCGTCTATTTCTTGTTCAACACACAGTTGGAGTACATGCTAACGGTAGCAGGAAAGTCCGAAAACAATCCAACAATTCCTGCCTTGGTAAACAAGGCATCCATCATCAACAGCGAGTCCTCATGCTGTCCGAACGAGGCCTCACCCTCAACAGAGCTGTAGTAAAACCCACATCCACCAATCGAACCCAACCCAGGCGCCGCGTTGAAAGTGGCATTTCCGTACTGTGAAACACAACCCGAACGTTCCAAGGACCAAGATCCGAAAAAGACTTTATCCTTGAGTCCCAAATCGGCGGCAATTGCTTTCATATCCTTGGAGTACTGGTGCTCAACAAAGCGGTGGTTTTCTGCAGCGACAAAGCTGTTCATTGCTGGAGAAAAGATTTCGACTCCGGCTTGCATAAGGTCGCGCAGGACGTCGGGGCTTCCACAGTCAGCTGGGGTAGCGCAGTCCTTTTCGGTTGTGGTGGAGTTCATTGGAGTTTCAAGTAGGTAGAGGACGGGGAGGGCTTTGTTGTTTTGCTTCCAGATCTTAGCAACGCTGTTGTTGATGACTTCAGTTTCAGGTTGATGAATTGGAGAAGAGATAAGGACATGACTCACCGACGATCAAAAGTCTGCATAACACCAAGATTACCCTTCTTGCCTGCGTCTTTAAAGTTCTTGTCAAAGGGGGCTGTGAAGTTGGCGTCCTTCAAGTACTGCGCAAACTTGTCTGCGAGCGTGGCGATAGTTGCGTTCTTTGTTGCCAGAAAGACTTGCGTCGCGTTTTCAGTAGTGTCCTTCAACTCGGGAATTACGTTCACGTTGTTGGATCTTGCAAAAGAAAGGTACTCTTTCATTGTGACCATCTTGGGACACTCGCCCTTTGCAACACCGATTGAGCGGAAGGGTGGCTGTCCAGTTACGTAGTCCTGAGCACGTGTAGCGTCACCATCGACTTGCGATTCCATTGTTGCGCACAACTGCATCATTTCATCGACGGTAAAGTCATAGGTGCAGCAGCTCACTGAGGCTTTGGTCCCGTTGGAAGCTGGTGTGAATGGCTTGGAGCACTTGGCGGCGAGTTCTGGGCGCTGAAGAATATCGGTGGTGAAGTGGAGGTCGCAGACACCGTGGCGGCACACAAGGTCCATTTCTTTGGTGACAGCCGCGTCGCATTCGATGAATGCTGCTCCACTGTCGACGGCAATCTGGTTCAAAGAAGATATCAGTGATGTTCCTATTGCCCAAAGACATGAATTGCTGTCACCTGGAAAGACTTAATGGTCTCTTCTGGAGCAACCAACGCTGCTCCTCTGTGGCCGATAGATTCCATGTTTCTGGCGAGTGGGTCAGCGCAGAGGGAGATGGCGTCTCTCATGCGAGTTATTTCCGAACGTCTGCAATCCAAACACAGTTTACTTCATAACCCCAAAGCCAACAGTTTAACAAGCATGCTCGCTTCACCTGAATTGGCAGTCGGTGTCATTCAGCGGAGTAGTTGTCCATGGGCAAACAATGGCGTCAGTGTGGAAAGTACGCTCTGCCATCCAGCCTGGAACAAAAACGGAGGGAGCAGTTCCGTTGGAAGTAGCCGAGACAGCAGCGGAAGAGGAGCTAGCAGTGTTGGATGACCCCTTAGTTGCAAAGTAGGTGATCACAGCACCAATTCCTGTGTGAGTGAACGGGATCAGCGTTGACATCATTGCCAGCAAGGGCAGTGGTTGCTTACCGGCCCCGGCAAGAAGACAGATTGCTCCGACGGCGATTGGGCTAACTGATTTCTTTTTGTCGTTCTCGCTCATGTCCGGCACAAGTTGATGTCCAAAAGGTTTGTATTCAAAAGGGACAGTCGAGATCAGTCTGGCGTTAAATACGAACACGTGCCCAAAAGTGCGTGCTTGTTTGTTTAATCAGTTCATTAATCGCATCTTTGCGTGGGATAGATGCGTGCCCCACTTTTCCACGTTGCTGTTCAAGTGTAATTTTGTAGTTGAGTGTGCAGGAGATGCGCTGGTGTACCCTCGCGCAGTGCTCACCACCAGATGCCGTGTGTATGATTCATAAACTTGCAATGTAATGTGTGCGACTGTCTGAGTTGGATCAAGAAAAGAAACCATGAATCTGCATCCGTTGAAAACAACATTGCACTCCAAGCAACCGATCCAACCTTCCGAGTTTCCGCAGCTACATTTCTCGTATTCTCCGTCACAAGATGGTAACCCTTCCGCATGCATATCCATTCAGCCGCTGCTGACGAAAGCGAACACACAGGTGTTGACCAAAACCTCCTTATCCTCTTCCACGGTCTCGGGGACCACCACCGCAACTTTATCCAATTCGGAAAGCGCATGAATCTACCCCAAACGGCAATCCTTGCCATCGGCGGGCCCAGCCCAATCCCAGCCATGGACCCCATCGAAGAAGGATCCGGCTGGTTCCCTGCGTTCGACTTTTACGGAAACGATATCCCTGCATCTTCAAAACCTGCGCTTCAAGGGTTACTTAAGACTCGAGCCTTGTTGATTCAGTTTATACAATCGTGCGTTTTCGCTGCTGAGGGGCGGTGGAAGCAGAACCCTCAGAATGTGTTTTTGTTTGGGTTTTCTCAGGGCGGATGTGTTGCGCTTGATATGGGGCTATCCTGTGCTCGAGAAGGCATCGCTTTTTTTGGAGGCGTTATTTCTGTGTGTGGTTGGTTGGAGGATGGTATGGGAGTGTCGCTTAAGGACGCTGGGAACGATTTGAGTATTCTAGTTGTGCAAGGCAATCAGGATCAAGTATGTCCCGAGTCGGAGTACTCAGCCAAGCGAAAGTATTTGCTCAGTTTGATGCGAGATCCAAACACGTGCGAAGTTGCCATCATTGCCGGGAAGGGACACAGCATGCCAGGAAGTGACCGCGATGAAGTACTCAAGATTATGCAGTTTCTCTCATCGCGAATGACACTTCGGAATCTTAAACTTGAAGCCATGAGCGACGTGTACGAAGTTAAATAAATGACATCTTTATTCCACTCTTTTTAGACTACGGCGCAATGACTTCCATCACCAACAGACGAACTAAAACACCAAACGAGTCCATCCATGCCTCCCCCCACTGTGTCACATTCTCTGCCCGCTGCATCCTCTCATCGCGAATAGCAACACTGCAGTACCAAACCATCCACGCAAACCTCCGGACCATTCGTTTACCCACAATCTCCTGAATAATCTGGTCATCCACTTCTGGATCGGAAGTATCCGCGCCACCACAACCAACCTTCTTGCCAGACTTGCCACCACCCGCCGACCCCGTCACGCCCAACCTTCGATCAACGCTGCGCAGAATATCGTTTGTTTTGATAATGAGAAGAACTTCTCGAGGTAGCACGGCCATGATTTTCGTGATTGCCGACAAAAACTTGCGTTTCGCCACCTTTTGAATCACTGTTGTTTTTTCGTCTTGTGTGCGTAGTGATGCGAGGCCTGCGGAGGAAGCGTTCATATCGGATAGAAACGCGGTCGATGCCGCGTTGGTATCTGCAAATTTACAATGTTAGGTTGTGCTCACTTGCAATTAAATTGAAAGCAAAGAACCTTCTTTGGACCCTTCTTGCGCAATCACATTCCAGGGTCTTCCCGTGAGCATGGACGCAAACAGCCGGTGTGGGTCAATATTTGGATCAATCCCTTTCAAGCTCGCCGTCAATCCTTTTTTTGATTCAGTAATGCTGCTCGTGCGAGTGGGAACCTCAAAGATGCGGCCAGCATAGTGTTTCACTTTGCCTTCGTCAAAACGAATCAATGCAATCCACAGATGACAGAAATCAAGACGCAGGGAGGATGGAATGGATCGGTAGAGACCGTGGTCGACTAAGTTGTTTTTCGAGTTGAAAAATAGGGATGCGAGCGAACAACAGTGGGACAAAAAACTTACGCAAAACCATTTCAAAGTTGTATGGATTCAATCCAAGCAGTTTCGAAATGATCGAGAACTCGTACCAACTTCGTGTTCGCGGCCGAATGATGATGTTTCCCGGATGCGG